CAACAATTACAGTTATTATTCACGGTGGTGACATACACCAGGGATCTCCAACCAACGACCCATGGGCCAGTTCCGGCTCGTCCAGCTTTTCAAACCAGCCCGCTAAGTTAATTGATGTTTTAAAAATCTTATTTATTTATCAATAGTATTTCATAGTAAAAGAAAAATAATAAAACTTTAAAATATAATAAATTATTTTTCGTTAATCATTGTCGATTACCCCGTCGATTGTGTTATTTGAAGTATCATGTTTAAGGCGGCGATCGTTAATCAAAAAAAAAATATTCATTTTTCTAAAATCAAAACATTTTTTTATTCTCAATTTCATTACCTCTCTATTCCTTTAAAAAATTTTGCCCGCGATACCAAAGTGTATCTCAAATTTGGCCTTCCGTAAAAAAAAAAGGTTGGAGACCCCTAACATACACAAAGAACACCAGTATATTACATATTATTTATATATATTAAGTTTTTCCAATTTAAACGACGTCTTTCAGTAAATAGATTATTTTCCGAAACATACTTGCATAGGGTTAGATGGTATTATGGTAGGATTAAGATTTACGTATGTCCAACTTGAATCTTTATGTATTTGAATAATTATACTGTCATAATATGGTTAGTATAACTTTTCTTGAATTTTAAACACGTAATATCGAGATGTAGTTACGGATACGTGTTTAACAAGTTCTGTATATATTATATTTATATAGTTTATGTACAAAACATATTTAATTTCAAGCTCTCGATACAAATTTAATTATAATAAAGAAGAGCGCAAATGATTAATTAAGTATGGCGTGCAACATTAAGTGATGAAATTTATTTGAATAAATACGACCGAAAATATTACTTGAACATCGTCAAATTAATAATGGAATATTTTTATGGCTTCTCAGAATTTTATAAACTTAGCAATAATAATAAACGACAGTAAAAATAACTACACGTATAGGTAATTACATTAATAAAATAATAACAATAACAAAAACGAGTGTACGCAGTATGGTTGATGTATATTATAACTCTTAATCAAAATTATGTTCTTATTTTTTATTCAACATGAAGTTTGTTTTATATTTATACTTTTATATCTATAATATTTGTTTAACCATTAGATAACTGATTATGGGTCTAGCGCATTTTAGGAGTACCATGGAAACAAATAGCAATATTGTTTCCTTCTATTTTTCAACCATTATTATATAATATAATAACTCACAATATTTTTTATTTATTTTCGGAAATTTTTAATTTTTTGTGTGGATTATATTTTTAAGTATGAAATATATACATAGATGCGCTGAAACATAGAAACTCTATTATTTTCCTTGGGTAATACAAATATCTAAAGAAAGATATTTGTTAACTTTGCTATATAAATAATAATAATAATAATAAATACCTACTTGTTTAAGTTTAAAAAATTTTGTAAATAATTTACATTTATAAGTCTTATATTACAATTGGTAAATTAAGTTAAAAATGGTCGATTAGTAGAAAAAATGAACAAAGTTTTGGTATTGTTTATTATTAAAAATATGGACTCCCAAAATGTTTATTTTTTTATGAGTCTCTTCCATATAGGTTTAAATCCGGCTCTGTTAGCATAAAATATTCAAATATTGCTTTATAAATTAATCGAGATTTTCAATAAAATCATTTGGAAATGTTAATTTTCTATTGATCTTGCTAAGAAGCTTTCACGACAGCTTTTGATAACATACAATATGATAATATACTCCGATTTAATACTTAATTTTTTTAATGCTATCGGAATCAATCCTATATTTTATTATTGTCGATTTTCTGTACCCACTGAGTTATGATAATAATGTTTCATTTTATTTTACTGCTATTTTTCTAATCGACAAATCGATGTAGTTTTCGGAAATATTTGATAAATATAAACCAAAAAACATCAATGATATAATTATCATTATCATAAAAAAATATTCGTACACAACTTTTAAAATTGTTTCTACATGCTTGTAATAATTCCATTTTGATGTGATTTTTTTTCACAAAGAGATCTAAAAATTCTCTACAGAAGCTAGACAACTACAAGACAAAAGTATAAAATATGAATATCTTTAAATGTAATTCCGGTGCTGAAAATCAGCTGTAACTTTATACTCTGGTATATATTACATATCACCTACCCAACAATAATTAAACCCTGCCAACGCCAAAAATGAATAAAAATGATAATTAATTCGAATTGCTACAATATATATATATAAACTTATTTTTAGTTTATTCGTTGCTGGTAGTCGATAACAAAACATTGACTTTTTCTATATGTTGTTAAAGTTCATTTAACACATTGTTGTATAAGATATTTTGACTTATTTTTAAAGAAAATATTAGGATTTAACACCTTTTAAACAAATTTTAACATTAAGACTTTAATCTTAAAACAATTTATGATATCTCCTTGTGATTTTTATGATCAGCTCAAGGCCTCCATAGATATATATTGAAAGTATAAATAGTTCAACACTAATAAGTTACACACGAAAATGATGTTTTTTTTTTTTTTTTTTGTAGATATTTTTACGTTTATAATTTTCAATAAATAAAATCCTGCCATTCACATTGTAAACATGTGCTCTATTTAATCTGGGAAAAAAAACAACAACTAAAAATATTTTAATATACGAGCAACCGAGCTGAACGATAGTGATATTGGGACTAAATATATGTGTGGGCATATTCAAACAACAAGTAATAAAAATTCATTCGAAAGGGCATATGATATCAAATAGTTCCTCCCGAACGAAACAACTCGTTTATTTTAAGCGCAATTACCCCTGCTCGATCACTTGTCTTAATAGAATGACAATTATAGCGTGAATTGTAATATTGCACCTAATTCTCTTTTGTTTTTTTTTCAGATGATTTCAAGTCTATTTTGAAAATTCAAATTACACTTACATTCTTAAAATATATCGACAAATATTTAATATTTTCATATTATATTATTATATTATTATTTTTTATATTTTTATTTTTATTTCAGAATAACAATTTAAACTAAAATGAAAATATAAATAACAATTACAGTTTATTTTCATAAATTTTGAAAATATTAAATATTATTAATTGTTATGATAGTATTCAACAAGAATAATAATAATTAAGCATTTTGTTGGCTTAAAAATAAAATTACAAATTACAAAAATAAAATAAAATATTTTTGCGTAAAAGATCGCACTGCATACAATGATAATCCAGTAGTTGATAACGAACTAATTAGATTAAACAGTTTGTTCTTTCAGAATACTGATAATATTAGATAATACTTTTAGTTCCTATATTTAAAATACCAATTTATTTTTGGATTGATAACAATTACTATTGTTATCACACAACGTATACAAGGTTAAAATTGATCGGGAAAATAAAATTAAAACAATTTTGTTTGTCGACTTTGAAAATAAATTTAATCAATAAATAATTTAAGACAATAATAAAACTGAAAATTAAAATGCAGTATATCTGTACGGGTACTTACGTACTAAATTTGAATGAAAAAAATGTAACATTGACTCATGTCTAATGTATTACAATAGATAATTATAAATATGTGTTGTTTTATTAATAATCAAAATTGTAATTTAATAATTACAATACTAAGAATAAAGACATCTTCATTAAATATGAAAAACTGGCCGAAAATTGTACAAAATAGATACTATTGGATTATTTAATAAAATTTACAGTAAAATGAGTTTTTGCTAAAAACTTTTAGGTATTATCAAGAATGAATTTTTATTTATTTTTTTGTGACAGGTATTTTTCATCTTTAAGTTATAATCATACGTATTTGCATAAGTACGCACAATTAATATTTCTTATAATATTTGATTTGCCTTCTCAAAGTATTTCTTAGAATGACCTATTTCCAATCTTTTTAATCAAAACGTTGTATAATTTAGTGTTTCCCGAAAAAGTAATATTTGAATATAAATATTTTTTCCCAAAAGGCATTAATTCTGGATACATTACCTTAACCTTTCTATGTATAACTTTAATATATTTTAACAATAAAAGTGAACGTTATTTCGTGTACCTAATACAAGAATGGTTTATACTCAAGGTGGGTTGCTATTTTATTTAGAGTATGAATTTGAAAAAAAATGTCTACAGTTTCTGATAAAAAAAAAAAAAACAAGTTTTTCAAATATATATTTTCATGAAAATGATGATCAAACTAACTTTTTATAATAACATACCAAATCTGTAACTGTTATTTGTATTTAGAACAATAGTTTAAATACATTTTTGAGGATGACAACAATATTGAGATTTAACGGCAAAATTATATTAGAATATTACCCATTTAATCAAACAATTTTTTTTTCAGATATATCATTCTTCCCTGCTAGAAACAGATTTTTTTTTAAACACACAAAGTTGGTTATTAAAATAGAATATCTACTGTTTAATTAGAAGCTATGCAGTGTCATATTATTTCAGATACTTAAAAAAAAACAATGTAAGCTCACAATAATATTATTTAAACAAATCGGTATGAATTTTTTTAAGAAAAATATGAGTTTTAATTAAGTATTAGAAAATATGAGTTATAGGTAGTGAAATAAATAAAAGCATTAAAAAATATATCTGAAAGTATTTTAAATCACATATTTGAACTTAACCAGTAACTAAGTAGAAGTGGGTACTTTAATGAATTTTTTTTTTCAGAATTTCAAAAATTATATGATTAAGAAAACAAACAAACAAAAAAAAAAAAATAAACAAATAAATAAATATATGATAGAAAATTCTATATTTTTGTTTACTATCTATATTTAAAACAATGTACTAGGTTTACATATCACTATATCAGACCTCGCGTTAAATATATGATATGTACTTCGACCATCACGCTTACTACTATCGTTTTTGTTATTGTTAACGTAATAATTACGAAGCATATATTTAAAATAAAATTGGCAAATTATTTATATTAAAATATTATATTGTATACTGACCGATCTCGAAACGCTCGGCGCTGCGGCGAATATTGCAAGGACCGTTGCGATCGCGACCATTCGTTGGCGAAACGTACCCATGGCTCTGCTAGTGCGGTGCTGTACGACTGTGTGCTAGTAGTGATATCCGTGGAATGACTGCGAGCACGGTGGCGGTCGACGGCAAGTGAGATCTGACCGCGTTGGGGGCGGTTCGGCGGGGTCGCGCACTGAGGGTGGTTGCGCGCGCGATGGTGGCGCGATGAGCAGTCCGTCTAAATCAAAAATGACGACGAGACAGCAGTTTACTTATTTTCGGTACCTTTAAATTATGGTGTTATATTGAGATAGAAAACTGCAACCAAAGGTGCAATTTTGATGAAAAAATTAGCTCCTATTTTTTTTAGTTATTCTCAGTTTTTCTTATTTACTAGTAAAACTTCCGTTAACGGCCACCTCTATAGGACGGTCACCTCTAAGTAACGGTCAATTTGTTTGGTCCCGTCGAGTGTTATGGGAAAAATACATTAATATTTTTAAATAGCGGATACTCTAATTAACGGTCAATATTTAAAAGTATATCAAATGGAAATTATTTTTAACAGTTTATCTTAACGAGCACTAAAAGATCTTTAACCTACATTATTTCGTAAATCATAAATACAATTTTTAATACCCATATTTATACACGTTATTTTAATATTGGTGTTTTATTTTTAAAATTTGTATAACCTCTATATAGCGGTCACCTGGAAAGTCTTGAACTTCTGTTAACGGTCACCTCTGTAGGACGGAACCTCTAAATAGCGGTCATTAATTACAATCCCTTCGGTGACCGTTATATGGAAGTTCTACCGTAATTATTATACAACTAGTGAATCCACACTATCACAGTTCCACAATCTACGATTGAATAATCAACTACGTATTTAATAATGGTGCAACATGGTTGCGGAAACCTTTTTACGACATTATATAGTTATCCAAAGGTTTTCTATTCCTTATAGATAAACTTTCCTGGAGGTTAGAACACAATGTATGAGGTTTTTTTTCATCAATAAATAGACACGTTATAGTTTATAAATCTATAATAATTGCTATATTTAAAAAAGTACTTTACTACAATGAAATATGACTGTTAACAAGTTTATTGGTGAGTTCACTCGTGTGTTAATAGTTAGTGTTTTCGATATATTAGATACTTTTTTTAGAAACATTTCAAATTTTCTAATAACTGTGATTTTAATATTAATATAAATAGGAGTTTCCAAATATTGTGTATAGTAGTTTGAAGAGTATAAACGAATTTCGTAGGTATCATATTTTCTTAATAGCTATGCAAATATCGTCTATTACAACTTATTTAAAAACTTTGTATACAAATAAGCTGTGTTTACAAGATTTAATAAATAATAGGGTTTCATCATCTTTATTGTAATCTTTATGTATAGAAATAAAAATAACTCAATTTAAATAAGATTAACACGTAGGTATAATTTTTAAATTTTTTTCAACTACATATATATATTTAAAAACTTTTGACAATAAAATGTATATTTATATTATTTTACCATTCATATTATAACACAAAGAATTTTTTTATCTTTTTACTTAAAGTTGTAATTAATTTCATTTAAAAAAAGCATACAAGCTCGTTGTTAAAGCGCAACTGATTACAAACAATTTCTCTCAACGTTCCTAAATTAAGCCTTAATTATATTAACTGTATACAAATTAGACTTTATTTCGATAACTATATGAATTGACTCAATCCTAATGCAACAACAAGAAAAAAAACCAACATGACTAATGAATAGATTATGTAGAATTTTACAAATATAGTCGCTGAGTAGATTGAGTGGATTGAGAATAACTCTTTCTCTCAAAAGTGTGTGCAATATACACTGCTCATTTCATATATTTTGTTTTTACGATGACAGGATGCGTAAGTATATTTAAAATAGGCTATAGGTATAATGTTATGTTTCTTATGTAGTATCGAATAGATACCTACTACACACATATGTTAATCGTCATCGGATAGTTGATTTCGTCTCAAAAACCTTCAAGCCAATATAAATGTTCAGGAAATGTTTAGAAAAATTTGAAAGTAAAATTTTTAAATTTGCAAGTCACCACATTCAAAGCGTTGAAGAACCGATAAATGTGTGATCACTAATGCTTCATTAAAAGTTACAATAAAATCAATAATAATTTAGTAAAATTTAAAAAAAAAAAAGAAAATAATAACTTTTCTAATCTAGGGGGGGGGGGGGCGTTTATATCAATCTGTTGCAACATAAAGGTAACACATTTTTGTAAAAAGTTTCTTATACTAGAATTAGATTAGGTTCATTTTGTTTTATAAACAAAACAATATAATTTTTTTTAATACATATTTGTATTCCTTTTTGAAATATTTTTTTTAGACAATTTAAAAAAAAATATTTAAGTAAAAGTAAGAGAGTGTTTGAGCTACAAAAGTCTTCTTATTATTTGATTTATGCGTGTAATTATACTCTAAAACGGTTAATAATGACATTCCCGCTCACAAAAATAAAATATGATAAAAAAAACTAACTCAGAATCAAGGCATAGTGACAAATTCACTTGTAACTCTTAACTTGTGATAATGATATATAGATGAAAATATAATATATTGATGCTTAAATAGAAAAATCTCATTATTTTATAACAAACCTAGTCCAAGAATGAAAATAAATTGATAAAACGATATAAATAATCAATTAAAGTAACGTAATATGTATAATAAGTATATTGTATAATTAAATACATAATAATAATAAAATCTTTAAACAGTGAATAGTGAAAAAATAACTGACAACAAAATTTCATGTTCGAATGATATATTTTCGTTTTTAAGAATAACACATAACATATAAAAACCCTGAATAACATGGAATTTTGTTTGACAATTTAAGTACCCTGGAATAAAAAATATGAGCGACAGTAAAGTTCCTGTTATAGTTTTTGAAATAGCTACCGAGCAAGGATAGTAAGCCATTGAAAGTAATAATCCACATTTCTTCTGAGAATGCCATTTATAGAAACGCAATGTCAGTAACACTGAGCTTATATCACACGATCTTAACCCTAGCTGTTGTGATTTTTATATAATAGATACGCATTTCGTAATTTCACAACCTTACATTAGTCAATAGTGGTACTGAGTAAGAAGTATAGTGATTATATGTGAAACCATTTTTTAAGTTACTCTGAAAATGTTCTTTTGATATATTTCAACTAAAGCATTTTTATTTTATTTTTTAAACATTGTTAAATTTTAAAATGTCTATTCGAAATCTTGTAAAATGCTAATGTTTATTATTTTGATAATTAAGTTAGCATAAATATAAATAAATTGTTTACATGTAAATCAACAACAAAAATAAAAAAAGCATAACTATTTAAAATTTAGTATTTATGTATCATAACATTTTCTCGTCAATTTATCTATGCATACTTCAGTTTGTCGTATTATTAATTGAACAATTAAGTAATAAAATAAAAACTTTGATAACGCATCTACTTTTTTTTTTTTTTAATTTCGGACTACTTAAAGTTTATCAAATACGTACTTATTTAAACGAGCTCGCAAGCAATATATATTATTTAAGCGGCTAATTATGGGCGAACTATAGAAAACTATTTTATAATATTCTCTGTGCATTTTCCATAAAATACTTGAGAGTTAGCTAACCTTAGAATTCAATACTTTTGAATCGTGAAGGGTGGTTTACGGTTCTCCAAAAGTATATAAGGAAATTAATATTTGATTGAATAATGGAAGCTAAAAGTTACTTATTATATTGTCAAAATGTTTATTATTTCGTTTAATATTTAAATATAGGCAGGTATATTAATTTTACAGTAGTATATATTAATTAATTTGTTATTATTAATATTTTTTTCATTTTGGAAAAGTTTATAATTCACTTAATACGAAAAATTTAAATTTATTTAATTTATTCTAATTTTATTATTGTTATCAAACATATAAAATGATTATTATAATCATAAAAATAATACGAGTACAGCGCTGTTTTACTTTTGTTTGATGCCGAGGTGTGTGTTTATAACATCAAAGCAAGTGCCCGATATATAAACCATAAATTCTTTTTTCAACTTTTTCACTTTTTCAAATTATTTTTATTACTAAAATAACAAAGAAATACCTTTTTACATTATATATTAGATTATAAACATCATCTTTTGAAGTCATTTAAAACCAAAAGTAAGTAACTCAAACATCTGATAATATTCTTTAAAATTGAATATTTAGCTTTAATTAATTATTATTTATTATATTAAAACCAGAATTTACTTAAGTTTTTTTTTTTATGTTTTATTGTATTACAAAATCAATAGTGCTCTTATCTGAATTTTCACTCGAAAATTTAAAATAAACATAAAATAATATAAATATTAGTAAAGGTAATAAAATATACATTTATATGTTTATGTAGTTTATATTGTTCATATTATATTATTTTATTTATAAATTGGTTATCTAGAAGATTAAAATTTCACAGATCATATGCTTTTAAAGTTTTTACTTATTTATTTTCGTAATTATATAAAGTTTCCACCTTAGTATAAGAAAAAAAATGTACCTAATCTAATTATATAAGTATTTTATTAAGATTGATTTATACGAGATAATTTTACCAATTAAATATAGTATATACGTAATATAAGAGTTTATCATGGATTAATTATTACTTTATACTTAATAAACATAATAGCTGGTACCTAGTTCAAACTTATAGTTAATAAAATATAATAATCATTAACTAATATTATATATTTTTAATATGCATTAAAACAAGTTCAGGTATATAAGTACTGTACCATGACAACAATTAAATATTTAAATTTTTAATAATAAACGTAACTATAGCTTTTTATATAAAAAAAAGATTCATTTTTACAAAAACCTGTCAATGGTGAAGTCCACAAACATTATTGAGTGGAATTTAATTTTTTTTTTTATTTTTTTTACTTTTATTTTATTATATTTATAAGAAATAAACTATTTTTATACATATTTTAAAGCGAAATAGTTTTAAATATTTAATTTACGCTAAAAAAAAAAAATTAAATGTAAAAATCATAAATATATAATATACTTAATACATTGTGTGTACTC